CTTACCCCAAACATCTAGAACAGTGCTCATAAATGGATGCTCGACAAGTATTTTATTGATGTGCAAAGAATGCACTGGGCATGAACACTCAGAGGAAGTCGAAGGAGGCTTTTATCATTGCAAGATACACAGGCAGTCCCTTCGAAAAAAATCAAGCTGGCTTCTACAGCCACAAAAACTGAACAGATAAAACCCAATATAATGGAACCAAGTCTCTAATACCAAGGGATGTGCATTGTGATTTCATCTCCTCTGCCTACTGTCTTGTTGTCTCTGCTTTCTTATTCTGTTCACAGCATGAAGCCAGATCTCAAAGGTTGAACAATTTGACATCTTTCTCTTAACTGTAGTAGTTTTTCACGTGGGTGGGTTATCCGTCAAAGAAAGCAGTACAGGCCTGCGGAGGGCAGATGATTGAACGATCTCTCCCTAGCTTGTAAACCACGAATTCAGAGAGAGAAATTTAAAGACGGTAGAGACCTGGCCTCGGTAACTGTTATGTATCAATCAGATGATGGTTCAAAGATGGGGAGATCCTCTGGAGTAGGACGGCTGGGCAGCTTTCAAGCCCCATTCCAGGCAAGACGTAAGATTTTCGTTTATCTTTAATTTTTGACATTCACATGGAATTGCATTTATTACAAACTTTACAGAGAATAACTTGTGGAGATAATACTCAAAATGCTCTTATCACCTACCAGTTTCAAGTGATGTGAAAATCTGACTTTTGGGTCCTCACCCCTGTAAATTCATATAAAATTTATGCCTTCAAATAGAGCCCGGAATTTTAACTTTACACGTTACTTTTATAACCAATCTTTAAAAACTCGTGTACATTTGTTATAGTCCAACGTAGCAGCCCTGACACTAACACGTTCTATTCATTCAAAGTCAAATATTGATTCACCTCTTCATCTCTGTTTAAGTAGACTGCTATTGGCCTCTTTAAACATATGCATCTATGTGATTTATGCTATGAAATCTCAGTCTTTATTTGCCTCGGTATTTTCTTCACAACCTTTATCAAACAAATACTTCATTATTTTATCGTATCTGACTTGTTACATATTTAAATAAAAATTTAGATCTTTCTGGAAGATCCATTCAACATCAAATATGTAATTTTTTCCTAAAATTTCTTTTCTGTATTATTTGTGCTCTGAAAATCATGCAACCTTCTCGTTTAAACCATCTGAATGGAAATTTTCTCTTATTTTTGGCCTCATCGTTTTTTGCTGCTGCTGTTGTTTTTGGTTCAAAAATTTGCAATTTTGGAAATAGGTACCTGAAAAGATACCTATGAGTCTAATCTTGGGAAGTCCAAATGCTCATTCCTTGCCTTTTTTTTTTTTTTCAACTTGTGAGTTTTTGAAATTATTTTATTGAGTTGAAATACATAAGTACACAATTAACCATTTTAAAGTGCACAATTCAGTGGCATTCATGCATCCACGAGGCTCTGCCAACGCCACCTCTCTCTAGTTTCAAAGTTTCATCACCCTAGAAGAATATCCTGTTATTAAGTAGTAACTCCCCATTTTTCCTGCCTCCATCTACTGGCAACCACGGCACTGTTGTCCATCTCTATGGATTTGCCTGTACTGGATAATTCTTATGAAAGGAATCATACACTGTGACCTTTTGTGTCCACTTCTTTTCACTCAATATCATGTTTTTGAAGTTCACCCACATTGTAGCATCCTAATAGTACTTAATCACTTTTATGGGTGAATAATATCCTATTGTGAGTATAAAGCACATTTTGATTATTTTGATTATCCATTCATCCACGAGAGGAAATCTGGGTTGTTTCTACTTTTTGCTATTAGAAATAATGCTGATATAAATATCTTTGTACAAGTTTCCATGTGAACATATGTTTTCACTAATCTTGAGTATATACCTCAAGGTGGAATTGGTGGGTCATATGGGAATTCTATGTTTAACTTTTCAAGGAAGTGCCAAAGAGTTGTCCACAGAGGCTGCATCATTTTACATTCCCTGCCAGCAATATAAAAGCATTTCTATTTCTTCACATCCTCACCAACGCTTATTTCTTGTCTTTTGTTTTGTTTTATTATTACCGTGGCCATCCCGGTGTATGTGGAATGTATTTTATTGTTCTTTTAAAAATCCAAGAATGTTTCATATCACATTACATGCTTGTTTGCCAGCTGTATACTATCTTTGGGGGAAAAATGTCTATTAAAGTTCTTTCCCATTTTTTAAATCTAGCTTTTGGTTTTTTTATCTTTGAAGTTTAAGAATTCTTTATTCAGTCAGGATATTAAATCCTTATCAGAGATACGGATACGATTTGCAAATATTTTCTCCCATATGTAAGTTGTCTTTTCACAGTTTTGATAATGTTCCTTGAGGCATAAAAGTTTTGAATTTTAATGAAATCCAATTTATTTATTTTTTTCTTTGTTACTCATGCAAATCTAAGACTCCATTGGTGTCAAATCTAAGACTCCATTGTTAGATCTAAGATAGTAAAGATTTGCCATATGTTTTCTTCTAATAGCTTTACAGTTTCAGATTTTATATTATTAAAGTTTTGTATCCATTTGCTTTCACTGCTGTATCTGGAGTGAGGTAGAAGTCCAACTTCATTCCTTTGCATATGGTGGTCATCTAGCTGCTGGTAAGGGCTGAAAATCCCATAGAATGGTCTTAACAATCACCATTGTTGAAAATCAATTCACCATGAACATCTGAGTTTGTTTCTACCTTGCTTTTATTCTACTGACCTATACATCTACCCTTATGACACTACCACACTGTTTTGATTCATGCAGCTTTGTGCTGAGTTTTGAAACTGGGAAGTCTGAAGTCACCAGCTTTGTTTTTCTTTATCAATATTCTTTTGGCTATTTGAAGCCTCTTGCAATTCCCAATGAATCTGAGGACTGGATTTTTCTATTTCTGCAAAAAAAGGCCACTGGACTTTCGATAGGTATTGAACTGAATCTACAGATCGCTTCAGGGATTATTCCCATTTTAACAGTATTGTTTTCTAATCCATGAACATGGGATATCTTTCCCATTTAATTTGTTTTTTAATTAGGTATTTAATCAGGTATTCTTTAATATCTCTCAGCAAAGTTTGACAGTTTTCCATGGATGGACAAGTCTTTTACCTACTTGGTTAGATTTATTCCTAGGCATTTTATTCTTTTGGATGCCACTGTAAATAGAATTATTTTCTTAATTTCCTTTTGAATTATTCATTGCTAGTGTTGAAAATCAAACTGATCTTTGTGCAATGATAAAAAGAGTAGCTAATGTTATGTAGCACATATTAAATGTCAGGCATTGTTCTAAAAGTTTTACATATTTATACCTTCAGAATACCAAAATGGGTTGCTATAGCCTATAAGATAAAGGTACACTGCATTAGCATGGCTTACAAGGCTCTTCTCATCTAGGCTTCAGACTATAATTCTGTCTAATGTATCTGCAATGACAGTGAAACAGCTCACTGTCACTGAGCACACTATGTGCTTTCATCCCTTGATGTTACTGCACAATCGGAACCTTTTAAGCTAGGATTTTTGCTTCGTCTCATCTGTCTGAGAAACTCCCACTCATCCTTCAAGCCTCAGCCCAATAACTAGAACTGAGGGCACTCATTTAAAATAAAGCATATCAGGGGGGAGTTAGATAGGGGGTTGGGTGAAATACGTGAAGGGAATTAAGAGTACACTTATCATGACCATGACGAACACTGAGTAATGATGTATACAGAATTGTTAAATCACTATATTATACACCTGAAATTAATATAATGCTGTTATGTTAATCATACTGGAATTAAGGTAAAAAACTTAACTAAAAAGAAAGAGACTGGGCACCTGGGGGGCTCAGTGGTTGAGCATCTGCCTTTGGCTCAGGGTGTGACCTTGGGGTCCTGGGATTGAGTCCTGCATCAGGCTCCCTGCATGGAGCCTGCTTCTCCCTCTGCCTGTGTCCCTGGCGTCTCTGTGTGTCTCTGATGAATAAATAAATAAAATCTTTAAAAAAAATAAAAAGAGATTTAGCTCAAACATTAAAGATTTAAGCTACTTAAAAAGTTCTCGATACCTTGTAACAGCTTGTATGTACCTCTTTTACAATGCACTAATCTGTGTTGCTATTATCTTTCTGCCTTTTCTGTTGCCCTCCACTATACTGAATTGCTTGAAAGTAAGGACTGTATTTTATATGTATCTGAGCCCTAGAGCCTGGTGCAATATCCAACTGAGTGGATTCTCAATAAAACTTTCCTAAATGAATGAGGTGGCCACATACAAAAAGGCAGTCAACTTTGCACAAAATGTTTCAGCCTAGTTCATTCATCCAAAAAGCAGTCATTCTCCTGCATGGTTTATTTTTTTTTTGAATATTTTATTTATCTATTCGAGAGAGAGAGAGAGAAATTGAGAGAGTGAGTGAGAGAGAGCATGAATGAGGGAAGGTGCAGAGGGAGAAGCAGACCCCTGCCCCCTGCATGGTTTAAATCAAGAGAATTAGCTTTTTTATCAAACACACTAGTGGTGGTCAGTGAGGGATCTTTTCCCCCTCTTCCCGTTCTCCCTCTAACCGGAAATACAAAGATCATCTTTGTCCCTCTAAAAGCAAAACAAAGCAAAAATAAACATAGAAGGCCTAGAAATATAGCACTGTTATGCTCCAAATCAAAGCCTCTAAGAATATTCTTCTTATCCTGACATGAAGGCAAGTAACGAAAAGCAAAATGAAAAGAAGAGTGAAACAGAAAGAAGACCAAATGTATTTTGAGAAAATCTGAGTGGTGTCTACATGTCTTATTAACAGTGTGACCCTGACTCCATATTTTGCCTCCCTGAAGCTCAGCTTCCTCATGTACAAGGTGGAGACAGTCTGCCCTGCTCCACACACCACACATCATTGGTGTGAGTTATCAAGAGAGAGAATGCTTGAAAGTATGCTACAAAACATAATGCGCTGCACAAGGACGTGTGTAGCTATTCACTCACCGAACACAGTTCTTGCAGGCACAGATTCTCTGTTAAGCCAGAATGACACTTGGGAGAGAATGACAGTCATGATGCAAGGCAGATATGTCTGAATCACAAAATACCCAATTTTTCTTTTCAAGTGGAAATGAGCTGTCATTACGGTATATTCACCTAGAAGAAAAAATTTAAGAAGCTTAAGGAACTGTAATACTCAATAGTTTGAACATTTTGGAAATAGAACAGAGTTGAGAAAGAACAGTCCCTGATTAAAAAAAAAAGAATTTATCACATATACGACATGAAAAATATAAACCTTTAAGTGCCTCTTTAACACAGCAAGACTATTTAAAAGAGACTTTTAATATTACCGAGAAACTTGCACTACATGTCCAAGGTACGACATCTGTTTTTCTCTCCAGGTCATGCTCCCTGACCGAGGAGATACAGGATTCACAAAGGCTCTCTGGCCATAAATTATCTTACTTGCTCAGGTCTCACATCCCCACTGGAACCAACTTTAAGCCTCTGCTTTGATTGTTCTAACTCTCTGGCTTTTTAAAGCGTCAGTGTCTGGCTGCATCTCTAAGACGGATCCAGTCTTTGGGGCGAAATTTTCCACTGTTGACCCTGTCACCAATTCTGAATCTCTCAGTGTTGTATGTCTACTCTCATCCGCTGCTGTCATTTCCATCTAATCCTGAGAACTACCCTCCTTTCTGCTCTCTGGGGTTATATCTGCTGGAGGTAAAGTCATCAGTTCAACACGGCTGCTTTTTCTTAGATGAGTGTGGCCCTTAGAAAGGGCATCAGCTTTCCCACACAGGCCAGTAGTAATGATCCATAAATCAAGAATTGAATAGTCACAAGTTATCCAGAATAGAAGGAAAAGATTTCAAAAACTAGGAAAATTGTGATATTGGTTGAAGGTAAAATTGGCTTGTCTAAAAAGACATGCACTTTTTGAATTTTTATTTTAGACCAGCATTTCTCAAACTTTATGCACATCTCCTTGGAATCTTGTTAAAATGCAGATCTGGATTTCATAAAGGGTCAGGTCTGAGATTGTAAATATCTAAAAAGCTCCTACAATCAATGCTACTAGTTCTTGGGCTCCAAGGCCAAAACTTTTTAAGTAAACTAATATATTTCAGTGACTCTGACCCATCAATTTTCTTAGAAACTATTTTTTTTAGAGTCATTTTACTAACCTGTACTGGATTTAATTGTTTCCTTCCCAATTGATTGGCCCAGCAGATCATACTGATTTAACCTAGAGCCATCAGGAGCAACTTGTACTGAATCAGATGCATTGTAAGTCCAAATATAAGTGACCTCTGAGGTTGTATATGCATCTGTAGGAAATTAGAAAAAAAAATTAAGCACTTAGTAAGAACTACCAATAAAGTGCAACATCAAAGGTTATATATTACATAGAATCACTATTATAAAAATTGATATATACAGATCATATTTTGTAAAGTAAAAAAAAAATCTTTGAAATTTACAATTTTCAATATTTACAGTGTGAAGCAGACCAAGAGAGAAAATCATGATCATAGAGTATTTTCATTGTAACCACTTTGAGAAATGAACAGCAAATTCCTCTTCAGAGTCTGCAAAAACCACTGCACCCTGCGATGGTTAAAATATCCTCCATAGTCCCAAAGTCATAGATGAAGACATTGGAGTAACCTTACCTTGGATCCAGGTTATAAATGGCTAAAGCCCATTTAAATGGTTTACTTGGGAATAGCAATCACTCATGAAGTATTTATAATTCAAAATGATACCACTCTCTGGACATAAAAGTAACATTATCATATGAGAATACTGACAAAATGCATTGTATTTATTTTAAGTACCATCTTTGTATTTAGTTCTGTAGGTTTTTCTTCAAAGCCTTCACCTAGTAACATGTAAAAATAGTGCTATAGTTTCATCAAGATATAAATAGTCCTTAAAACATGTTCATTTTAAAATTAATGCACACAGGCCTCGCTGGACTATACTTTCACAGCACCCCAGCTATGGATTGGCAGGAGACAACACTCAAACAGATATAATCTTCTGATTTGTTTGGTCAAAGATGAACAACTTAGCAGAATTTAGATGATTCTAGCACTGGAGGGCAGGAAGCATATCTTGTCTTAGCCATTCTCTGGCCCTGGCACCTCCTTCATGCCCGTGTGTCCCGGTGGGAGACAGCTGACCTCTCCATGCAGAAGTCTCTCCACAGTTGAATTAACAGAAAATTCTTGCTATACTACTGACTTTTTGAAGAACTTCTATGAACTTTTGCTCATGGGAACGTTTGTAAGTACTAGGTACTCTTGGTTCTTGAGCAAATTCACCATCACAGCTACGTTCTCAATTGAAAGAGAGAAAGGACTAGCTGTTTCCAGCAAGATCTCTGTCCTTAGATCTCTGGGACTCTGGAAAAGTTCATTTACCTGCCATCTACAAGTTTTCCAGGTTGATAACATTGTTCTGGGATGGCCCTGCTCTTTACCTTGAGCCAAGGCCTACGATCCCAGACCAATTCACATTTAAGCATCAGTTACAATAAAGTGAATGTTTATGAGTTTGTGTCTTACTTGTTGCGTGGTCTTTTAATGACCTACTGCAATGTTGTCAGGGTTCTGCATGTTGCTATTCAATGTTGTAACAGTGAAATACTGTTTTCATCATACACATATTCACCTATATCCATAATTGAATTATATTCTGTAGAACAATTTTTGAAATAGGACTCTAAAAACAAAATTATGAGTATGTGCATATCCTTATATGTGTGTACATACATTTTTTAATAGCAGATATATTCCTATATTTGCATATGGATGAATTCTAGTTACTCCAAGGTCTAAATCTGTATTAATTCCAATTAGTTGATCATTGATGATTCTGCTGCTAGGATTAAATAAGCAACATTAGTAATGTGGATAACTAGCAATCCATCTGCAGATCATTAAGTGGCTTGTTTTTTTCTCCCTATAAATGCACATCAGTAGTTGTGAATATTAATAAATTATGAACCTTTTAAGTATAATGATTCCACTTCTGAATTTTGATGTTTATTTTTAAACATAAATAAGAGAAAATGGAATCCCACAAATGCAGTGACATTTCCAAGAAACTAGTGAGATACTGAGGAGCAGGGATTTGTTCATGTCTACACTCCTTGCACCTAGTACAGAGCCTGTCACCCAGAAAAAGTTCTCAGTTCATTCCTGCTAGATTAATCAATAAATCCATACTATTTTAATTATGTTATTTACTTTTAATTGTTATTTACTTTCATGGAAATCTGCATAATAGCCCAAGAATATCTTAAAGAAGATGACTGATACTCCCAGTGTCTCCTATGAAAAAGCAATTATAGCATTTCATTAGTTAGACAGGAATATGTTTTTTAGATTTTGAGTCTGGTGAGAGAAGACAGAGCAGAAAGTCATGTAATGCAGCTTAGAGGCACTCCCAGTCCACCAACACACATATAAGCCAGGAGACCACTGCAGTATTTTTCAGTAAAGTATAAAAGCAGAGAAAGATAGTTTGTTGTACAAATCTCACTATAAATTCCATCCCTAAGTTAGATTTTCATTAAATAATTCCATTTAATTCTGTTACATAATCCATTTTCAAATCCTAATCTGCACTGAAGATCAAATGCATACTGACTGATTCTTAATATTTGCCAACCAGAAAAAAAAATCCCCAAATCATTTCTAATTATTAATTTTATCCCCAAAGATGATTTATAATTTTTTTTGACTAATGCACAGAATACAGCCAGACTCCCATTTAGGAACTTTTAAGTCATGTTAAACAGCAAGAGGCTATATAAAGATGTGAGGCAACAGAAATAAAGCAAAATAAACATGAATTCAAAATTATAAACATACAAAAAGATGCTCCTTTAAGAACAAAGATAAATTTCCAGAAATTCTATCATTATAGGGAGCGTTTAAGCAAGAGAGAAATAAATGACTAGAAGAAAAAGCCATGGCTGCTTCTGTCAAAATTTGTTGTGCTAACATTATAAGGTTTGGATTAGCTTGTTAATTAATCTATTACACCATGCTTAATGCACACCCCTCCTTTTTTTTTTTTTTTTTTTTTGAAAGAGAAAGAGAAAGAATGGGTGTGAACGGGGAGGTGGGGCAGAGGGGGAGAGAGGGATTCTCAGGCGGGCTCCATGCTCTGAGTGCAGAGCCTGAGGCAGGGCTCAATCTCAGGACCCTGAGAACATGACCTGAGCCAAATCAAGAATCAGGTATTTAACCTTCTGTGCCACTCAGGTGCCCCCTAAAGTCCATTTTTTTAAACACTTAGGTATCAACCACCTACTCTTGGCAAGGATAAGTAAAAGAATATACAAATCAAATTGTCAATGTGTCAGAAAATAAACATGAAGAAAATGAAACAAAAAGCAATTACTAAGAGAATTCCTAACAATAAACTCTGTGTGTTGTCTATATTGCTTCTAGATACAGAAAGTCATGCATGGGGATCCCTGGGTGGTGCAGCGGTTTGGCGTCTGCCTTTGGCCCAGGGCGCGATCCTGGAGACCCGGGATCGAATCCCACATCGGGCTCCCGGTGCGTGGAGCCTGCTTCTCCCTCTGCCTATGTCTCTGCCTCTCTCTCTCTCTCTCTCTGTGTGTGACTATCATAAATAAATAAAATAAAAAAAGAAAGTCATGCATGCATTTCACTACTTTGTGGCTACATGACAAGGGATTTTAAAATTTTATTTAAACTATTTTCAGGCATATTTATTTAATATTCAGAATTGAGACATCACATCATTTATATTTGGTGCCTTAATGGCAATAACTTGTCCACTGAAAAATTCCTTTCCTTCTTATACCAATACTGCATTTCGAATAAATCCTTTCTTTTGGTTAGCAAGGCTTTTCAATTTTCTCTTTAATGCCATTTATGTAATGCAAATGAGTTTTTCTCTGCTGCATCTGCTGTAGTTTTTTTCCGCATCATGTTTACGTTGTATAACATGATTGACTATCTTAAATAATTTTGGAAAAAATGCCAGTATTGAAGTGATGGTTTCCATGACAATAAAAGAAGGCTTTGTAGTTAAACAAAGAAGAGATTCGCAAAGAAAATTGAGAGCTGACACCTTTTGTAAGAATGAACAGAACAAACAAGACTGAACTTCTCATTCCATGAAACTATGGTCATCAAAATAATTAGAGGAGTTTGCATTCATCTTAGCCATCATTCTCTCCTCTTTTCTTTCACTTGATAGTCTGTGGGGTGAAGGCATCTATTCAATCATACATATTTTTAACCAGGTAAGGGAACTGCATTTTTGTTCAAGCGAACGAAAAGTCAAAAGGTGCCCTGCATGGATAAAGATGGGGATACCAGAAAGAGCAAGGTTTCTGAAAAGGTCAGGTGATGGGACATGCTAACACAAGAGAGAAGCTGCTTTAGAGCTGTGTCTGTGGATTTATCGTGAACTTGCCCTAAATGTGGGCCTAGGGAGATGATTTGACCTTCCCTCTTTTCAATTATTCCAGGAGAATGAATGTTTCTGCTTGACATACAAGATATAACCTCAGTGACCTAGAGAATGGCCAAATGCACAGAGCCTTTTCTAAAATATTTTATGTAAGCACAAGGTGCCTAAACATAGCAATCCAGTTACATCATCTCCTTCAAGTTTATTTTAGGAAATTTTTAAAAATCCTTTCCATTAGTTGGAAAATAGGAAGATAATAATAGCACAGATCCGGCTTCTGTGCCTGCCACTTGCAACAGGCTGATTACTATTTTAATAAACAATAGAATCTATCCTTTACAGTTCATTCTTAGTTACAAAAAAAAAATGTATTTTGCATTTTTAAGGGGCTAGTGCTTGGAAAAGAAGGTAAATGACATGGTCTTGACCTTCATTAGGAGCTCTTGGACTACCTTTATCCATGTGTAGAAACACACGATGTTCTTTACTAGCAGTAAAGCAAGCAAGATTTTAAACTCTGTGATTAAAATACAATGATATTTGAGAGTACAACTGGGCTAGCCAATTAGTTCCTTGAGTAAAACCAGCAAGTCTTTTACTTCTATGCCTTTTGGGGCAAATATTAAGCATTCCACAGTATGAGAAGCAACTGTACAGGGAAGCAATGCTGCTGCCTGCCCTTGATTTGACAGACCCAAAATATGTATCTTCATCCCCATACTTACAGCTGCCAAATTTCAGAGGACATGAATGAGCATCCATAGGAAAATCCTCCAAATGCATTGGACATTCAGCTTGAACCGTAAGCCTAAAAGCAAAAATTTCACTCTTTGTTTAAGTAAATTGACAAGTCAAGACTCCTTGCTGTTCTCAACAGCATTCAGGATTAGGTACGATCTTCATTATAGCATTGTATTAGGCTAATGCACATTTAAATGTTCTCTTTCAGGTTTAGGTGATCCTTCGGAAGACATTAGCATATGCAAAATACGAACTCAAGTAGCAATATTTATTTACACATATACTTAACCATTTGGAACTCTGTGGTTTGTTAAGTAGTAAAGAAGTTATATACGCATTTTTGAAGGGCTATTTCACATTTACATTCACTATTAACATTTGAAATCCTAGAGAAAGAAAAGAAAAAATCTCTATTACGAAAAGAATGTTACTTTCCTCCCTCATGTCATCAGCAATCATACAGCAAAACTGATATAAGAATTCAATACTAGCTCACAGGACTCCCTCCAAAAATATGTAAACTATGAATGAGTATCACATGCTATATACAGGTACATGGATTTAAATATACAAGTAGATATAGATAATATATAGATGTGGCTCTTAGAGATATCTTGTTCAAACTAGACTATTGCCTAAAATATGGGCAATATTGTCCAATAATTTTTTTCTGTATCTACATGATCACATTAAAGAGTAATCACAGCAAACTTGTTATAAAGACAGTCATCAATTACTCCATTTCACACACAAGTAAAATGGATGGAAAAGGTATTAAACTGAACTTCTAGAAGACTCTTATGATGAGCAAAACAAATGTGGCCAACAATTTAATTATAACTTATGTACTTCTAAAAGAGTTATTTAGGTAGAACTCCATGCAATATTTTCCAAAACTCTGTGAGTTCTCTGCCAAGATTTTGTTAAAAGCCAAAATTTCCAATCATTGTCATAACCCACAGGAATGTTCAGAGTATAAAACCAACAGAGACACTGCATCTGTATTTTAAGATTCAGAGAGAGAGCTAGCACTTCCATTTTAGGCAATGGTTATTTAGTAATGAGTCCTTAAGAGTTTTTTCTTTAAAGATCAGGATTGTATTTTTGCCCCTTGTTAAATAATTTACACAACTGAAACCCACCACCTAACATTTCATATGAAATAATAACACGCCACATGTCCAGAATACATGTCTAATCTATATTGAATGCTGATAAAGTTACTCATGCTTTAAAGCCTTTATTGAACATTTAAATTTTAGATTACACATCACTCCATTAGATTTGTGATTGTTTTCTTTCTTATATAAGTAACTTATTTTAAAAGATTAATTCATGAGAAGAGTTAAAAATGGAATAGTTGCTATACTACATAAATATATATAAACATACAGTCACCAATTGTATATTTCTTTAATTTTTTAAAGATTCTGTTTATTTATTTATTTGAGAGAGAGACAGAGCATGAGCAGAGGGAGGGACAGATGGAGAGGGAGACAAGCAGACTCACTGCCGAGCTGGGAGCCTGATGTGGGGCTTGATCCCAGGACCCTGATATCATGACCTGGCCCAAAGTCAGACCCATAACCAACTGAACTACCTAGTTACCCCTCTTTAGATAAATTTTTAACGGTTGAATCAAATGAAATTTATGCTACATGATACTATTTCACTTACAAAATGGCAATTTGTATTGTTCAATCTAATATATATGCTTATAGTACATAAGCCTTATTAAATAAAAACTACCTTTTAAAATAAAGTGACTTTTTTTTGCTTTAGATTGACTTTATTAGAAGGATCAAATATTAAGTAATAGCTTGCTTAAAAATCACTTGGAATTTTGATGGCATATCTGATTAAATATTAAAATAAAAGTATATGATGGTATAAAGGACATTTTAAATCATGATGTTCAAGCTGTACTTAATTAAAATGTAACGTAAAAAAGAAAATAGGCAATAATCATCAGTTCTTAATAGTTAAGGCAATACTTAGTTTTTAACACTTAAGATGAGAATCAATCTCATAAACACTAACTTACTTAGTTTTTTTAGAGAGAAAATGCATGTGAATGTGTGCGAGGTGGGGAGTGTGGAGGGGGCTAGAGAGAGAATCTTAGGCAGGCTCAATACCCAGCACAAAGCCCAACATGGGGCTGGATGTCACAGCCCTAAGATCATGACCTGAGCAGAAATCAAGAGTCAGATGCCTGACCGACTGAGTCACTCTCACACTCCTATTTTATCTTATTTTAATACCCAGGGATTTACAAAGCACACCGTGGTTACCTCAATGATCTGCTATAAAAATGTTCGTTTTGTTCTAATACTTGACAACTAGTTGGCTGGTTGTTTAATACATGGGTTTCTCAATATTTAAATGCAACATCTCAAGCCTAAAAACATACCTCATTGTGTACAGCAGAGTCCCATCATCCTGGATTCGAAGAAGCTTGTTTGGCATTGTCATATTATGAGCTACTGATTTTTTCCCATTGTGAAAGAAGGTATCAGGGGTCCAGATTTTGCTAGCCATTAAATTGTTAAGTCGAAGAATGTTCATAGGACCTTTAAATTTTAACCGTTCATCTTTCCATTTTTGCCGGAAAAAAACATCAATTGTATATTCCTGAAATATAAAATAGAATTCTTTGGAAAATAATAAATGTTTGTAGATACAAGGTCACTATAGAATTCCAACAAAAATAATAATATAGTTTAACAAAAGAGACTACTATGCTGAGAAAAGCAAATTCTGAAAGATGATTTCTTTACCAATAAACGTTGCCACTTACAATGAGATAAGCACGTGCGTTTACACAATTGGCTACATATTAAGAAAAGAAATAATAAATATATTTTATTCTGGCCTCTTTTAATTAAACAAGGTCTTAAGCTGCTTTACTGCATCCTATGACTTACAAGTGTGGGAGAGGAGCATACTTGGAGCAGGGTCTCGGATGGTGTTCTAAGTAGTTTATCTCAAAAAAGCGTAAGCAGGCAGCCTTCTCAGTAACCCATTCCCCCACCCCCCAGCAATAAAAAAGAAGGAAAAAAAGAAACAACTGTCAAATCTGTATGAGTCATCATCTGCTGATGCCAAAGGAACTATAAAATATCATATTTCTTTTTTCTAAAAAAATGGTGAGATACCATGTTGCTAGCAAGAACAGGGGATGACAATTTCAATAAAGTTTATTTTATAAAATTAGTTGTAATAAAAATACTTTGACAAGTTACTGTAATACTTAAAATACAAATATTTTGCAAATGAACACACTCAGGTTAAAATGTACTTTTGAATATTCATACAGATGAGCTAGCAATCGATTCCTATTTTACTACTGTCCAACACTTTAAGGTAGCTTCACTTTCTCACCCTCTCTTTCTCATTTCCCTGCTCCCTGCCTTCCTCCTCTCGCTCTGTCTTCCTCAGAAGAGAATGCATGCAATTCAGACTAGAGGAACAATTAATTGTGATTAATACTGACAACATATTAGATATTAAAATTTTTGTCAATGTGTGTTTGTGCAAACACACAATAGATAACCAAAATATTCAATTACACACCTGAGGATCGTTAATTCAGCAACTGTCCTTCGGGCCTAAAGCCACAGTCATCACATTTGAAATAAACACCTTAGCAACTGGGAATTTCATTCAACTACAATTATGCATATAAAAAAGGACACATTAAAAAGGCCTTATGCTTATGAAAATACAAAATTATTTGTACACATTTCAATCAAGTAAATGATTCCCAGTGATTTCTAGAAAATTGAATGGATGAAAAGAAAAAGTATCAGTGATAGGTTGTGACATATCAACCAGAAATAAGCAAGGGCTTTGGGCTGCGTCTCTCTGATCTTTAGGAGAAAATTTCATGATTGAATTGAAACCCATTCTCAGTGGTTTAGTCCTTTTTAAAAATGTTTAATTCCATATATAGGTTTTTTTTTTAAAAAAAAATCTAGATTAAGAGATGAGTCTTCACTATTTAAGTTTTTATCCAAGTGTTTCTTTCCAGCTATGGCTTCCTCAAATCTAAGCCTGATGTGAATACATAGGACATTTATTTGTCCAAGAAAATTGAATGCATTTTACAACTTCTTATAAAACCTAAATTCAAATTTTCCATTTCTGTAAAATTATGATAGGTTTTATCTGTTTCAGAAGCTGTCGCTAGGGCAATCATTTCCTGCAGATTACACAGGAGATATGCAAGGTTTATAAACAGCAGGTTTCAGATGAATTCTTCTTTAAGAAGTGGTTTCAGCAACACTGTGTGTTTCTGAGCCTTCATGGTGTCCCAAGTGTCAACCTATCCAGAGTGATCTGTCCCTTTTTCTCCCCCATCCCACTCCAATCAGGCACTCGTATTATGTTGTAGGCAATTTTAACAATCCCCGCTTCTTACCATTTCTCACCTAAAGCAAGTTTCCTACCTGCCTGAATCAGAAATTGCTCACAATCATACTCCCAGTCCCTGGAACACCCAGAAAAAACAGTCAGCTGTTTATGTATCTTCATTACTCACAGAGCTTCCTATTCCTACAAGATCCCATGCTGCAATTTATGGTCGTTCCTCTCTCTCCTGACAAGCTTGCAAATCTTCACAAAAGGCACCATAGCTTTCATTTGTGTATTATCTTAGTTTGTCTTCACATGTATATAAGAGTATAAAGAATATCATTACATCTCGAAGCCATTACCAGCAGAAATGCCAACACAAATATCACTGAAGTCTTCTCTCACACTGATTCCTCCTCAATCATATTCCCCTACTCTCTGAGAAAATATTTATCTCGGATTTGGTGTTTATCATTCCCAAACATGTGCTTAAATATTCACTACATAAATATGTGTGTTTCTATATCACATTGTCAACATTCATGTAAATGGCATCAGAGAGCATGTATACTTTCCTGACATTGATTCTTTAAGTTACATGATTGAAATTCATTAATGGCAATATATCTAGTACTTTGATTCATTTCCGTTGCTACATAGCAGTAACATTTAAGAGTATTTCACAATATTCCTCCTTTTTCTATGTTCTTAATTTTTTTCCTATTTCCAATCTGTCACTATTGCAATAAATACTGCTGAGAACATTATTATATTATGCTTTTAGGACAAAGGCCCAAGAATTACTCTAAACCAGAAGTCGGTAAACTTTCTTCATAAAGGGCCAATCAGTAAACACTGTAGGCTTTACATGCACATGATATCACAACCACCCAACTTTGATGTTATAACTTTGTTGTTGTTGTTATTATTATGATTATTTGTCAAATATCAATACATAAATGAGTCACTGTGGCTATATTCCATTAAGTCTTTATTTATAAAAATAGATAACTGATAGAATTTGGCCCATGGACCACGGTAGGCCCACCACTTCTCCAGAGTAAATCTACAAGTGGTATTACCAGAACGTACTGTATGTGCATGCTCAACATATTTTCAAATTGAAATCCAAGAGGTCTGTACACATAAAGTCTCTTGTTTCTCTACAACTCGATATAAATACAATATTTCATTTTAGCCATTATGATCAATGATTACTGATACTGCTACCATCTGAATCTCCCTATTGAGTAGTGAAATTTAACAGTTTCATGTATTTATTAAGACCTCTAGTTTTCTCTTTTATGAAGCGTCTATTCATTTCATGTACTCAGTTTCCTTTTAGGTTGTCTTTTCTTATTGAGTCATAGCAATTACTCACATTTTCTACATATAAATATTTTATTAAATATGCTACCCAGTAAGAATTATAATAAAGATTATAAAGCTATGCAAATATCATAAACATATCCCTGTACATTTCATCTAAGATGTAAAAGTTCTGTCTTTGACATTTAGGTCCTGGAATTATTATTTATCACATGAGATAAAGATTCAACATTGTGTTTTTGTTTGTTTCTAAATGGAAACACAACTTTCTAGTACCATTTTATCAACTGGTCCATCTTTCTCCACAGATCTATAATGGCATTATTTTTCTTATGTATATAGTGTCCACATAGGTACGGACAGGTTTATGAGATTGCTCTTCTTTTCTATTGTTTATCTATCCCTGCATTAATTCCAAAGTCTTGATTACAGCGCCTATATAATAAGTATAATTAATAGTATTTTCATTATTATCCATTCAAAGACAATTTTTAATTCCCATTATGACTTTTCTTTTTCTTTATGTAGGAGATACATGTGAAGTGAGACACTGTGAGACACTGTGAAGCGTTTTTGTATTTCCAGATGTGTTGGTTTATTTTTGTCACTGATGTTTAATTTTGCTGCATTTTAATAAGAGACCATGTTCCGGGATGCCTGGGTGGCTCAGCAGTTGAGCATCTGCCTTCAGCTCAGGGTGTGATCCTGGAGACCCAGGATCAAGTCCCACATCAGGCTCCCTGCATGGAGCCTGCTTCTCCCTCTGTCTGTGTCTCTGTCTGTCTGTCTCTCTCTCTGTATCTCTCATGAGACTATGTTCTGAGGATACAATTTCCAATTTATTAAAAACATCCTAGGAGATAATGGTAACTTGGTCCATTTACATTTAATATGATTGTTAATATATCGGACATGTCCCCAGGCTATATTATTTTTATCAATGACAGTTAAAATTGTGAGGATAGAAGGGATCACTTACATACGTGTTTCATGACTGATAAAAATAAAGAAAAAACTCTAGAAAATTACAGCGTATGAACCACAAACACACACACACATACACACACACAGTAGCAGGAAAGAAAAATGCCAAACTAAGAAAAAGGAAAATTTAAGAAGCATTTATAGATAAACAGTGTCAAATAGTGCTGAAAGATCTTGAGCATAGTTTAGAAAAGAGTTCAGAAGGCAGAGTGCAAAGAGCTGAGAAGTGAACGGAGGATACAAATGGAGGAAGTTAGAGTACTCTCTCTCCCTACTCTGGAGTTTGTAAATGCCATTAAGGGACATCAGAGTTTAACCAGTAAAACCTGGAGACTAATTAATAACATTTAGCAAATGCCGTGTAAAAAAAACACCTAAAATGAAATAGCTTCTAATAGCAACAATTTATTATTCCCTTAGAAGACCCGAGACTGGGGTCAGCTGATCACATCGGGGCTCTGTTGACCTCAACTGTTCTTGCTCATGCACCTGTGGGTTAGCTGGCCATGGGCTGATCGAGGCTGCCATTATCTAGGACCACCTGGATGACTCAGCTCTGCTCCATGTGCCTCTTATTTTCCTCCAGGAACCACAAGGCTATCTTGGGCTTATCTTGGGCTTATCTTTCCCATGACAATGGTAGAAGTACAAAAGAACAAACCCTAATGTCATTTCAAGACATCACTTGTGTGATGTCTGTTAACGTCCCATGGGGCAAAGCAAGTCATGTGGTTGAATTTAGCGACAAGTGTCACAGCCAGTCATCCAACTCTCAGTTGAAGGGCATTATAAAGTCAAGTAAAAAAAGATGTGGATATAAAAAGGGGTAATGAATGGGGGCCATGACTGTAACCTATCATACTAGCCCATCCCTTGTGAGAGAAAATTTAAGATTTTTGTGAATGAATAGTTTGGGAACATCTGAAACTTCATCATGTGATTCTAATGAAAGTTACATGAGTCTA